TTGTTGACAGCATTGATTCATTAGGAAAGTTATTCGTTCTATTAGGAGTGAACCTTCTGCTTTAAGTAACTCTTTAGCTATATTGCCAGGTACTGGAGATCGCCCGTTTTTCATTTTAATCAACGCAGTACGGACCTCGTTGTTAGTAGTATTAATGTTTTGTTTTTAGTAATGTGTTTTTATTTAGTTTAGTGATAGTTCTGCATGCTTGCGTAGTCTGAGAATCACCAATTAAATTTTCAACTTTCAGAAATTGTTTCTTGCTTCTTTTATTTGATTGCGTACTTCTCCGTTTTTCGTTTGATATGTTGCTCTATTGGTAGATGTTTTATTTGTTAGTCATTTCTTATGTATTTTGTTTTTTTCTTGTATAAAAAATTCATATAAAAAATTTTCTTCAAAAAAAAAAATTGTTTGGGTTGAAATACCCTTACCCCTTAGGGATATGATAAATAGATTACGACCAATTCTTGGACCTATCGAATATATATGTAAAATTTCATACAAATCGCTCCAGCGATTTCGGGGAAGTATGACAAGTAACTCTGCGACACTAATATGGCTATTAAAAATGGGGGTTATCATAAAGAAATGAAAATTAAGTATTTTTTCATGTTACACCATTAAATCATAAACATATTTGTTTTTTTTTTTTAAATAAAAAGAAATGTTTGTGGTGAACAACCCTTACCCCTCAGGGGTATAACATAGAAAACAACCTATTGTCGGACATATTGAATAAGCATAGAAAATTTCATAAAAATAGGTCCAGTTGTTTCAGAGGACTATGGCGACAAACACGGTGACACGAAAATTTATGTATAGGGTGGTGAATCGTCAAACGGGCCATTGGAAATTCAATGGGAAATTCTGAATTGTTGAATTCCTGCTTCCCTAACATCAAAAGTCATAAGAAACTATTTGTAGAGGACTGAAATATGTATCTTACAGCGTCTTGAAAAAGGATTAAAACAATTCTGAAAGCTGGACAAAAAAAATCAAAAGAGTGTTTCTTTAATATCCCGGCCAACCTTCTAACTGCAGCCCTAATAAACTGGTTGTTTGTTTATATATATATATATATATATATATATATATATACGTAGCTTATTATGATTTAAAATATATTTAAAAAAAGGAAATAATATTCCTATTTTTATTAATTTCAATAAAAAAAACATACAAAATATATAGAATTTTATAATTAAAATATCTGTATAAATTTAATTACAGACGCCAAATTATAATTCGGATTTTAGAAGGAAATAAATAAAATTAAAATTACTACGGACTATGGTTCTCCCGATGAATGTTAAACTATTTGTACTGACAAATAAATCACTTTTTCCTTGTAGGTATTGCAAACTATTTCCAATCAGCATTCCTAGTCCAGAAATTGCTACTCTGCACTGCTGCAATTTTAAAACGCCTATTGACAAATCGCTTTTACATCATTTAAAACTGCCGGCACTAGTTTGTCAGGATTGGACGTTCTTATTCCCCCAGTCACCAACAGATCCTTCAGCTTCAATCATCCAAAATCTTCTCTTATCAACCAATTACCTTTTAGGCTTTCAAACACACCTTAAACTTCCCGAATTCTCAAGAAATCCTTCAAATTTTTCATTTGTGCTTTTGATAAACAAATCATACAATGGAACCTCTCTAATTAACTTACTTCGACATTTCCCAGAGGTTTTAAAACCGATGAAAAGGACAATAGAAACCGTTAATCGCTTATATTTTGTTTATTTAAGCATTGAAGAAACATGTAAAAGGTTATTCCCATGAATTTTGCTAACGAACAAAGTAGTCATCAGAATTCCGTAAACAAAATAGAAAAATCTATTATTTGGACAAAACTAGGGTCAATGCTCGACATATTCTTAAAAATATGTGGACTGACACTACTGTAACAAGTAGTCGGCAAACTTTGCTGAAGGTCTATCTTAAGGATTCCAAGAACCAACATGTAAAGGACAGTAACTTATATTGGAAACCCATATTGGAAATGACAGCGGTTTTCTAAAAAATACTGGTTTAGTTTTTTTTACAAAAAAACTAAGAAACTGTTTCTTTATAAAAAAAAACCGGCGATGATCATGTGAATGCAGATAGTTTCGGACAGTGGTTTCAACATGTTCCGTAACGTCTTGAAGATAACTGTGTCATCGGTATGGATAATGCATCACATCTTAGTCGCCGGAGTCAACAAATTCTCACTTCATTTAAAAGCTGGTTTTAAAAAGATACTTCGAAGTATATCGACAAGTTGCAGAGTCCAACCATCACTATGCAGACGTTGAAGGGATTTAACAGGTCCGTGCGTATAGCCGTTCGGAGTTTCTGCCCCTCAATCTTACTTGCGCAGATGCTTACATCCACGCTCCCACAAAAGAGGGTGGCCTGGGCATCATGGCCATGGCCATGCACTATATTAATAATCTCAACTACTGATTCGACGTATTTAGCCCTCAGTTTACTATATATGTTATGTCTCTGGGAGAAGATCCTTAAATGGACAAGAACATCTTCAGGCAATTCAGCATCTATCGCACGTAAATTGAGCCAGAAACTTGAGGACGGCTGAGTTTCGGCTTCACATTCCGAAAGCTAAACCTGGATAAACAATCCACCGTCTTACTGGTCGGGGAAAGATTTTGTCAAGGCAATCCAGCTGCGAGGAAATCTACTGCCAACTAGAGGCATCCCTTCAAATCCACCACATGAATGGAGGTGCCGAAAGGGATGCGAACGTAACGAGAGCCTTAGTCACGTTTTGCAAAAGTGCTCTGCATTATATTGGCACCGAATAAAAAGACACGACTAGCTCGTTACGTGGATTTGAGAGGTTGAGCCGCGAATTAGATGCGCCGACGGGACTCTGAAGATACCTGACCTTGTCGACAACAGGGATACGGGTAATTGTCGTGGACGTTGCCGTCAGCTGGAGGGTCCTCAACCTTTAAGTACAGCCGATGCTAATAAAATAGCGCTGTACACAGAGCCTCGATTTCCTTCAGACCATGCAGACCCGATATCTAGGCAAACAGATTTGCATGGCACCTTTAATGGTGGGAGCTAGGAACATGGGGTCAGTCGAATTCTCGCATCATGAGAATTTTAAACCTTTCAAGGTTTGACGTCCTCAATTTTATCACTAAGGCAATTCAAGGTAGTATCCATATTCATAGTCATTTTATAAGGTCCTAACATAAATGACTTATGAGAATCTTATTTTCGAGTCTTTCATATCGGCTTCTTCCTATCGTGGGATCTACATTCATCTAGTTAGGAGTTTTTATCCTTTTCTCTTCGTAGATGTTGTGTTTGTCTATTCATCTGTAAATGTCCCAATTTACTATATTTTTATATTTATTTTTACTATTTTTAAACTTTTTTGATTATTACCTTTTCAGTTATCACGCTGATTTTTCTAAGCCCGCGATAGTGCGTTTTGGCATAGTTTTAATTACAGAGGGGGGATGGTCGGACTCACGTAATAAGATACTGGTCAAACATCGGGCCATACGCTGCTGGTCTGTTACTTTCCGGATCGGAACGGGGAGGAACAAACCAGCAGGGCTAAGTCGGTTTTCGAATGGCGGGGGTTTGGTTGTGTGATGGTCGTAGCCGCCCAGCCGGCATCGCCCGGCCTGTAAGCTAAAAGAGGTTTTGCTCCACTCTGATAGCCGAAAGACAAATGAAAAAATGGCTCCGAGAAAAAAATATAATATTCGGTACTATGAATATGCAGTTCGCATAGAATTGATGTGTTTAATCAAACAATACCGCCCTAACCATATCTGGTGAATGATTTGTGCTCGTGGTCTATTAAGACTTTTACCGTATCAGTGCGATTTGAACCCGATTGAGTTGATCTGGGCTCAAACAAAGAGTTATCTGGCATAATGTAACTTTTGTATATAATAGTTTTTTCATATTTTTAGAAGATATTATGTACATACAATTCAAACAATAATCTGCAGTTGATAGTACTCTTTCTATTGATAGACTAATTGAATATCCTTCTGAATTAAAAAAAATATGCTAATTTGATTATTTTACATCTTTTGGTAGATAATCGACTTCCGCTCATCCGCTTAGTCAAGACATTATTAATGTGAATGAAATCTTATTTTATAAACTAGATCTAATGTATTATTTTTATTATAAGCAGACACATAATATTCTATTGTTACAATGTACACTAACCAGCAAGGAAACATATTTTCTTACGCGCCGCCAATTATTGACGAGAATTCATGATGGGGACGTGATTTCGGCTAGATTTCACCACTTACGGCGCGAGCTTTTGGATGACTAATTTCACTTATGGATGGAGAAAACTGCAGCAAAAATGGTACGACGACTTAAACAAACAGTGGGACTAAATTGGTATCGGCTAGCCCAAAATACTGGAGAGCAATGAAAGAGGCATATATCGAAAAGATACAGGACGGCTGAAAAAGAAATCTTCACGTTTCAGTCCATCCGGGCATATATTCACTACGGTATCCTCTGCACATGGTTGCTTCTACAAAACTAATTACTACATCCACAAACCTTTCGTAATTGTAGGATGAGATTGTCGCTGTGATACAAAACTATATTTTACGGGATACCTGTAATTATCAATTTCAAGTAATATTTTTTAAATCAATTTCAACATTCAATTTAAATTCTGACAATATTAAAATAATTGTCTATTAATGATATTTTCTAGGGTGATATTGGAGAGTTCCTAAGAATTCTTGTTTATGGCATATCTATTGTAAATTATTTCGAAGGAAGCAAGTATGCAGTTTATTTTTTAGTTAAGTTTATATTAAAAAAAAAACATTATAAATTGTACCGCCTATGTTTATTTCACAAACTACGTTAGATAAGAAGCGCTTAGTAATTGTATAGCTAAAAATCCTTCCATCATATATGCGAAACCTGATAACTATTTAAGCAGATTAGGTTATCGATTGGCATCATTCAGAAGATATCCGGTGCGGAAAGAGAAGGTATTAATAAAATAATAGTAACGTGCTAATTGTATTTATATATATATTTTTATTGTTTTAAAATATACTTTAAAAAAATGGCAAAAGTTGCGTCAGCTCTATTTTCGGTCTTTTCGCTAAGTTCTCCGAGACCACAAGTACAATTCGCTGATTCTTCAGGTTTGTCGGTGTCTGGACTACCAGGAGAAAGGGTTATAACCTTAGAGGAAGTTTCAAGGCACGATACCGACAAGGATTGTTGGGTTGTAATATATGACAGGGTTTATGACATTACGGAATTCTTAGACGAGGTAAGATTATAAAATAGTTAAATAGGTTTGGGAAAAATCATCCTTATTCTATTTACCTTTATCAACATGCGGAGTATGCTTCCCCAATTTTATTTTTCTATTAGCTTGCTTGTGTCTTGGATCATTTCATTATTATACCTTATACAGGGCTGATTGTAGGGTTTTATTCTAGGGGATTCTAAGGTATATGTTAAATCTTGATTTCCTAGCTCATTTAACGATATGATTTTGCTTACTGGATAAATTGACTAGGAATATTAGTTTAAAGCTTATCACGAGTGTCTTTTTTAACCCCTCCCTCTATCCGGATTGCCGAATATAGGCCTCCCCTAATTTTCACCATTCATCTCTGTTGATTGTAAGACGTTTCCACATTGTCCCTTTTGGCTTCATATGGCCGTCAATTCCCGATTTCTTTATTCCATTGGCCATCCTTAAGACATTCGTTATGTCCAGACCATTTCTATTTTAGCTTAGCTGCCTGTTCGACAGCGTCTTTTACTCTTGTTCTATTACGAATGTCTTCATTGGTTTTATGGTCTTTAAGTGAGATACCCAGCATCTGTCGTTCCATAGCTCTCTGAGTTTTTCTGATCTTCTCCATGTTTATTTTAGTGAATGTCCAGGTTTAAGCTTCATATATAATTACACGTAGGATACACGAATTAAACACTTTGGTTCGCTGTTTTTGAGGTATATGTTTATTGTTAAGTACGTATGAGAGTCCTCCGAATGCTGCCCATCCCATTTTTATACGTCTGCTTATTTCGGTAGTCTGATTTTCTTTGCTTACCTTGACATTTTGGCCCAGATATGTATATCTACATGCCTTATCTCTGACCTTTCGATGTTTATGGTTTGTCATCTTTGCTTGACATTAGTTTAGTTTTACTGAAATTCATTTTCAGTCCATTTTTTAGGGATTCTGTGTGTAGCTCCTCAATCATCTTATTCAGTGCATTTCACGTGTCGGCTATTAGTACTACATCATCTGCGTATCTAAGATGGTTCAAGTATCTTCCGTAAATAGGGATACCCTAATTTCCCCAGTCTATTGACTTAAATATATCTTCTAGGGTAGCTGTAAATAATTTCGGAGATATTGTGTCTCCTTGTCTTACTCCTCGGTTGATTTTTACTTGTCTTGCTTCGATTCCATTACCCAACGTCCCTATCATGTCAGCTTGTTCGTAAATATTATGTATTAATATTCTGTATCAGGAGTCGATCCGGTTGTTGACTAATGCTTCTTCTATTGCCCACAGTTCTACGCTATCAAAAGCTTTTGCATAATCTATAAAAGCTGGACATAATGGGAGATTGTATTCGTTAGTCTTTCCTATTGGGATTTTCAAAGTATATAGATGAAGTGTCTTTTACTTTGGATTACATATCAAATATGGATGATTCGATCCTTAACTCTTCCGTTTAAAACTTTTTCTATGGCTTAAGAAATATCTATGACTGGTGATTGCTAATTTTGACAACCATTAGATTTTAAAACCGAAAAATAGTTTCGAAACACAATTCAGATTTCTGCTTTAATCTGTGCTTTCTAAAAATTGCAAAGCAAAACAGACGTTGATGAAGGTGTTAAAAGGGACATGAAGAATCTAAAATTTGCATTCCACGACATGTCTTATTCAACTAAGCAGAAATCCTTAGCGAATTGGTTTCTTGTACTCGTACAGAGTAGATCCGAATAAAATGAGAAAGACAGCAAATATTTGATTTCACGCAAACAGCGCCTTTGTATCTGTTGATACGTATTTCGACCTAATAGGTCTCATCAGAACAGTTATTCAAAGGTGTTCTCAACGTGAAAGATCAATATTTGCTTTGCAATTTTTAGAAAGCACAGATTAAAGCAGAAATCTGAATTGTGTTTCCAAACTATTTTACGGTTTTATTATCAGATGTCGCTAATGCGTCCGTATCAAAGCCATTTTAGTGTTGCTTCTTAAAAGACAAAAAATATTGATCTTTCACGTTGAGAACACCTTTGAATAACTGTTCTGATGAGACCTATTAGGTCGAAATACGTATCAACAGATACAAAGGCGCTGTTTGCGTGAAATCTAATATTTGCTGTCTTTTTCATTTCATTAGATTTTATTTGATATATTATCCCTTTACCGTTAGCTCTAGCTTTTACTTTAGTTGCAATATCAACTGTCTCTTCAATAGCTCTATAATTGCTTTAAGCTGATTTTTGATCACAGGACCTGCCTCAGCCCAACAAGCCCAACGTTTTTAAGATAAAGATTTCAAAGTTTTTGACTTTTAAATTTTATGACTTTCACAATTTCTTTGAAAACATGCCTTTTGGACTGCCTTTAATATAAGAATAAACCAATTGTGTTACACCAACAAAATCGAAAATCTTTGGATATTATATTATATTATATTATATTATATTATATTATATTATATTATATTATATTATATTATATTATATTATATTATATTATATTATATTATATTATATTATATTATATTATATTATATTATATATATTATATTATATTATATTATATTATATTATACTAAGGGAATGAACATAGCAATAAATATAAAAAATTTTGATATTTTTCTCTTTACATCTTTTTTTGTACACCAGTAAAGTTTCCTGAGATCGCTGAATCTCCGTCAAAGCATACAGCTTGAACATCGTCCCAGAAATATCTATATCATGCAAAGTAAAATTATTTCAACAATGTTTTCTACATCAGTTAAATTTAAACATTTCAATGTTACTAGCATTTGAACTGGAAACGTACTATCTTTAAGGATATATCTAAAAACAATAGCAATCTGCTCGTGGCGAGTGACATCAGAAATCTCATCTGCAATCACCAAAAGAAAGTGCTTTTTCACTTCCTTCTGAATATACCTTACATTTTTGAGAGAACGTAGGATATAATTTTAAATGTAGTTGCTAAAATAAGTGCGGTTTTTTAGGGGCGATTCCAAGTATGCCTTAAATGCAAGATCATATTTTTTAAGAAGTACAATTTTGAGAAACAATTCTTTTTCATTGCTTCCTTCCGTTTTATCATGACCACGAAGAGGTTTTCCACCTTTTACTAGAACTATAATTATGTCAATTAGTTTCTTCATATAATATAAATCTTTTGTCGCCGCTTCTCTCAGGCTTTTAGTTCAGCCTCTTTTTTATTTTGGATTTTAAGTTCTACGGATTTATTCAGGTTATAACTCAAATTCAAATTCAGATTAAACTCAAAGTTTTTTTGCATAAAAAACAGAAATCTGCATTTTTGTTGGACTATTATAAATTATAGTTAGTAAGCGCGAAATATTAAATACACATCTTTTGGTAAAACAACAGCCAATTGACAAGGTAAATAGCTACGCATATCTTGGTACTAACATAAACAGTCAATGGGACTCTTTTCAGAAGTCACGATTTACCACTTAGTAACAAAATCTCTAATTAAAATTAGAATCGCCATAATGATATCCAATCTCCGATAGGAGAGGCACTCAAAGAAGAAGACCAAAATCTTTATTATCAGATGCTATATATTTTCTACCTTATTATACGGAGTAGAGGCATGGACGCTCTCTAAAGCTTCTTTAGGGAAGCTCGAGGCCTTCGAGATGTGGTGTTACAGGCGCATCTTACAAATTTCATGGGTAAATCTTGTGATTAATATTGAGGTCCTACTTAGAATGGGCAAGAAATTCGAGATCACTAACAGAATCAAAGAGCGCAAATTAGAAACTCTTGGCCATGTTATAAAAAACAAACACAGATATGGCTTATTGTAACTCATTCTTCAAGGTAAGGTATTTGGAGAGAGATGACCAAGGAGAAGAAGAATATCTTGGCTTCAAAACCTAAGGAAGTGGTTCAATACGTCTACAACCGGACTAGTTGACAGGACTGCAAGTAAAGTTAGGACAGCTATGCTGATCGCCAACATCCGGAACGGATAGACACCGTAAGAAGAAGAAGAATATTCCAACCATTTGAAGTTAGAATACCAAGTAGGTAAAAACAACTGACTTTAATGTTTTCCCTTAGGCTGTTATTTTGACTGAAAGCTGTTGTAGTTGTGGTTGGTACGGACCTCTTATTATTCGAGAAGATCTTTCTAATCTTTCTTTTGGTATTTCTAAGCAAGGGTCATCGGGCACACATATTACGGCTCCCTATAATGTTTGAAGGATGTTCCCTAGCCTTTTTTAACTTATATACGCCTATCTAATAGAGATATCTGATTATAAAACACTAACTCATAACGAAATGTCCTTATTAGGTATATTAAGTTAATTCCAGTAATCAGAGAATAAAATCTATTAAAAAATTAATTATGAAAAAATAAAAAACGATTAAAAAGTTGAAACAAAAACGAATGGGACCCTTTATATAGTATAATTACTTTTGATTAGTTTGCTTTTAATATAAAAAAATATTATTCATCTTAAAAAATAAAACATAATATTAAACGTCCTCTGGTTAATGCATAGAGCTTATTTTAACTGTTGGGCGTTTATCAAAACTTCTTAACATTTTCTTGGAGTAAAATTTTGTATCCAAGCATTTAATATTAAGATACCAACGGTGATGGCCCGCATTAGATAGATATATCTGCCTTGTGTATTACAAAAGTTTTACTTTTTAGTATAATATCTCGTTTATTTAATATTACTCAAAATGTTCACAGATTAATTGTTTCTAGAAGTGAACAATCCCAATTTTTGCGCCCCTCTAAAGTTAGTGTGGCTTCCACGACACCCGACCTGTCACGCTGGCTATCTAACCAACAAAAGCAAAAGCTCTGCGAATTACAGTCGCGATAGAACAACTCTGAGAGCAAAATTTTTCTATTGGTAATGTCATTGAGAAATTGAGAATCTCATTTAATGTCTACAAATTACGCTTTCTCGTGTTTTATATTTATAAATAGTTCATCAAACCATTGTAAATACAAATATTTAATTAAAATGCAGTTGTATTTAAAGAGTTTTCGTTAAATAATTTATTAGTTATCAGTTGAAGTTACAACAGTTATAAATAATTTAATCACTAATAATAATATTTTCCTTTAGGTTCTTTAAATAACACTTTCTGTGATGTAATAATCAGGAGATCAGTATATCGTAGTATTCTTTTCGTATTTTTATGTGCTTCTACATATGAAATTGACATTTTGATAAAATCAAATCGATCATTTCTATGCTCTACGTACGTTCAAAAGATATCGAATCTCCGATATAAATCTTGTACACTTGTAAATTAGGGTATATCTACTTGAACTTTAAATGTATTATTCTGCGTTTTCAATTAGCTCTAAATTCCTTGTCGGATTTGCCCTGTAGAACCTATCCACTCAAAATTATTAAATACATTTTTGAAGTTATACTTCTATAGGCACGATCGGCGTTGGAAATTTGCATGGGAGTGAATCTGTGAAACCATTACATATGTAAGATAATGAGTAAGAGAGAGACAGAAGATATATTTTCTCTCTCTTCCTCTCTCGAGAATAAAAATGTTCCTTTTGTATATATATATATATATATATATATATATATATATATATATATATATATATATGAAACCTAGAGCTAAGATTATTATTATTACAAAAATTTATATTAAACTCACCAGTCTTCCGGGTTGAACCACGTCGATATCCATTTTGCCGAGCTTTCTACATCCTCTCTGATGGCTTCCTCAGGGCTTCCGAGGTCTCAGTCTCCCGAGCCCCCAGACACTACTACACTGTTCACTGATCACTGCACTTCGCATACGGTGCAAACCATTATCAGATAGCGATAATGATAAACATGTAAATGTAACTATATGTACTTATTACTTTCCCATAAAATAAAATTTAAGTTTTAAATACTAGTTTTTTAAGCTTTTGTATGAATTTCTTTCAGATATATGAAGTCATTTATCATGCAGCCTATTTCTTTTAATTTCTGCAAACTTTTTTGTTTTTGTCTTGGTTTTATGTAATTTTAGAAGGCTACGGGATGTATCCCTAGTTTTTCCCCTAGAGTCACTCGTCACTGAGGAGTAGGCAGATTGAGACCGCAGTGCCGTTTGACAGTTATTGTATTTATACAGAACACGATACTGGTACGTTACGAGTGAGGGGAGTAGGCAGATTGAAAAATTGCCACATTTTTAAAACGATGGTTCTGCGCTATTCAAGCTCGTCAAAAAATTCTTTTTCTTCTTGTTCCGTTTCTTTTTCAGTTGAAACGTTCGCGTAGACTATGTCGTAGTTGGAGAATTTCCTCCGTATTATTATTTTAGCTATTCGGTAGTTGATGGCTTTGAAATATACTACAGCTTTTGTGTGGTTCCCACAATGATTTTATTTATTCTCGTCTCAAACGAAACAAATTTTAATACATGCCCAGAATATGGAATGCATCCGTCCGGTTAGCCGCTCGTCCAAACAACCACTTACCCATTAATTATCAATTTTTATCTTTAAATAAATATGTCTTGATCATCACATGCTATAACATATCTTGATCACATGACGAAGTTTGTACATTCCATATCAGTATTAGTTTTATATAAACGCATTTATCAGCATCTAGTAGCTTTTAAAGTACAATAATTAATTATTGTTTTCTAGCATCCCGGAGGTAGCGAACTTTTATTGGAATACGCCGGAAGGGAAGCGAGCGGTGCGTTTAGAGGATCCGGCCACAGCGATGCAGCAATAAAACTTCTCGACAAGTACTTCATAGGAGAACTACCCATACACGAAAGAATTTTTCGAAAACAAGGCGGGTTGATGCTGAGTAATATACCAGAGTAAAATATATCGCCGTTGGATTATAATCATATATATATATATATATATATATATATATATATATATATATATATATATATATATATATATATATATATATATATATATATATATATATATATTAACGAAACTAGATATATCCGGATAAGTATTATCAGGGAAATAAGATCAAATAGGTTGATCTATGTATCCAAGTAGAAGACATAGTCATTGTTGGATGGTTAGAACGGCAAGTTTTATATAAATTATAAAGATATGCAATTGGTCAATATCAACAGATTATTTATCGGTCAGAAAGTAACTTTTATTGTGTAGAGCCCTAACCACCCATTTCAAAGCTTCAAATTTTGCGATAGATTGCAAATATATTAATCATAGGTCAAATAGGCTTGACATTGACATGATATTGACAAGCTTTTCTTTTCATATTTCTTCTGTTAAAAATTTAAACATAGTTTTTTATATTCGAATCAGTATAAAATTAATTTATATATTATTTTCTGGTTGTGAGACGTATATTGTTATTACTAATTTATTTCATTTGATTTTTAAGTTAGTGCTTATTATTGATTTAATATTTTTTATACGTTATTCGTCAAAATAAACAGTACCTATCAAAATATAGGGAGCTGGGGAATTGTTCACTTATGTTATATTTATACAGGGTGTTTCAAAAAGGTATGTCATAAATTAAATCACGCATTTCGGGAATAAAAATAAATTGATTGAATCCAACTTACCCTAGTACAAAAGTGTACACAAAAAAAGTTACAGCCCTTTGAAGTTACACAATAAATTTTTTTTTCATTATCTTAAAAAACTACTTGACATTTTGTAATAAAAATGGACACGTTAATTTCTTGTTCTGAAAGCATTTTTCATACAAATGAAACAACAGAATCTAAGCTCACAGAAAAATTTTAAGGGGGGTGTGCAGCAATAAATCCCACCAAACTTTTGAGTACGTTCAAATCAAATGAATTTTGTGGCATCATTAGTTTAACACATTATTTTTAAATTTTTGTTGTCTGTTTTCACTTTTTTCAAAAAACAGTTTTTATTGAGTTAGGGCACCTTTAAAAAATTACGTGCAACTAAATAAATGGCTTAAATGAATTAACAAGTACAAAAAATGTCTATAACCTCTATAAATATGATATTACAATAAATGTTCAAAATAAATTTTCTTCGATACACATTCGGTATCGTTTTAATAAGGAAAACAGAATGCGCCAAATCTATTCCCTAATCTATCAAAGAAAAATTCTAATATTTAACTACAATTAATCTCAAAAAAATAAATATTTACTCATTCTTGTTTTATATAAATCAAAAATTGCAGAATTCATAACATAATATAAACAAAATGTACTTTTCTAAAACTTCTTTTTATGTTTGAAACATACAGCATCTACATTATAAAAACATGCCAACACTGCTATACCGAAATTTTTTGTTCCATGTTTGACATTTGCGGCTATAATCAGCTTGTACTTTCGGTAAACTCAACTCCAACTCCGTTTAAAATGTCTTATTTTGTTGTTTAAGGGAAAATTTACAGGGTACTTTCAAAATATTGTACAATTTATTTAACTTTCGATAATTTTCTAAAAATATCAGTGAGTTGATTTCTTGGAGCAGTATATATTTAATAGTATGCAGACTCATTAAAAGGAGTAGCTTTAATAAATAGTTTGCGGTTTATTTTGGCGAATAAGATTTAAAGACAGCATAATTTTAAAGGGAAACTTAAAAGAGATATTTCCAGCAATTATAAGTTCTTTAATGTATTTAAATAATTTAATATTTTAGATATATCTAGCATTTTTTATTATTAGTTAAAATCATTTCTACCTCATTTAATGTTATTTACGCAATATTTTCAAATCTCACAAACGTGTATTATTCGTAGGTTTTCAAAATTTCAATTTATGTCTGTTCAATAGTCTTCTGTCAAATTACCTTTGGGGCTTTCATAATATAACTTTCATTAACAAACAGAAGCAAAAAGAAAGTGAAATTAAAACGATATTACAATAAAAACTAATAATAATAGAAAAAAAGAGGACAATGCATTTGAAAACACTCAGATAAAATGTATTTAAAGAATATTGCAAAAAGAAGAAAGTGCCTTGCGCAAAAACGCTTAAATCAATATTTGAAACAAGAAACTACGAAGGCACAAAGACACAGGAAAACAAAGAAATATATACAAAGCTAGAAACGATGATAAACTTTTGCATACATAATAACAAAACAAATGAATAGAACAGAAAAATACTACTACCCATTTATGACAGAAATTATGATACTTGTTATTGATGCAGCACTGAGAGTATGTAGTATAACACTAGATAGCAGTCATACATATATAAGTGTACCTTCTACTATTTATAAGATTACTGTGACCATGATAAGAATATGTTGCTGATACAGATACTCCACCATCTGTATCGGCAACCACTGTTGCCGATACAGATACACATGATAAGAGTACCATAGATAAATTCTATGACCCCGCTTGAAAGCTGCCAAAAACTTATAAATGCCTGGATTAAAGAAAAAGTCTAATTGAAAATGGATTGAAACCGATGAGATGTGGAAAGAAAAACACAGTAAAATAAATAGGAATAAATAAACTTATTAGAACAAAAATTGAACAAGACATTTATTGAGTCATATGAATACAAATAAAGGAGGTGTATGTTCAAAAATAAAAACATTGAATAATAGAAAAAGTAAGCTTCGTATGCTTTTCGGCAAGCATCAAATCGTCTGGGTAGAAAAAAAAGTGAGTTTATTTTGGAAATATTCCGTCTAATCAACTCTCATTAATTCAAAATTGGCGTGGTGTGAATAAATGATAGTGAATTGATGTCAGAAGTATTTGTAAACGTATTTTTAATTTATTAATAGTTAATTCACAAAATTACAAGCAAATTAAAAAGGAGTATAAAATATAATTTACATATTGTATGACACTTGATATAATGATATGACATTTTACTTCTTTTTATTCTTCACTACAGTGATTAGTATTTGCTCGTTTCCTTTACACAAGGCTATTGTGGTCGTCGTTCAAAATCTTCATACATATTTCTTGAGTCTTGGATATCGAATTAAGGATTTTTTGGGCAGTTTTTTTTATTTTCCATCCTGTGAATATGTGTGTCTACATTCATTTTTATAATTAGCTATTGTGTCGTTTATAAAGTACATATTTAGATCATTACGTACATCTTTATTTCTTACTAACTTTTGGTCCTTCGCGCGGTTTTTTTACTTTGCGAGCAGTCTATAAGTGCTGTGGCCTATAAGTTGTGTTATATATTAACTAATTAAATAAAAAACAAATTATTGAAAAATAAAATGTAATTAGTAACTGTTGCACATTACAAAGACGTCAAAGACGTTACTTTTAATGGAAAAAATTGGTCAACCTACAAAAAACTCAAATATTTTAAAAATCTAGTACTGATATCACAAATTAACTCTTTGAAAATCACAAAATAAAGAACTTTCTAATTAATTAAAATACATAAAGTTTATTTTTCATTACAAGAAATGCAAATAAAGTTCATAATATGTTTCTGATATATAGTTTGTTTGCAAAAATTATAGTGATTTACTGTTTTTATATCTTTAGTGCGAGGACAAACAGTACATCGTTGCTTTTTTGTTGGTGACAATCTTTCAAAACTAGGCCCTAGAACATTCAGCATCCTTTTGAGTTGATTAGGTAATGATAGTTGAGTGGATCTTTTTTCATTTTGCTCTGGAATAGTAGACAAGCCCACAAATTTCAAGGTCTCTGATCTTCTCATATTTCGTTCCAAAAGGTTTTATTGCACATGTAAATGACGAAGCCATTTACACCAGAAGTCTCTAAAATATAAAAAAAAATCAATGACCAGGGTAAACAGATCCTGGAAATACTATAGCTGCCACACATTTGATCAGCTGTATTCACACGCATTTAGTTTCATGGTAAAATATAACTATTTTTGGTTTTGGTTCATTTGTGCTGGTTGTCATAATATTGTCATTATTATCGTGTAATTTTTAACACATTTTTAAATTTGTAAAAATGAACTATTATGTAATCTAAAGTATTTCTGTCGGTTGACCAAATCCACTTTGTCTCTGACTTTAAGTGCAGTGGTTTTTGATGGGCCAGGGCAGGGAGTCAATTTTTTACTGTTTTTGTTGCTTCAGCTTATCTTTTTTCTCAGAATATTTTCTGTTTTTATTGCCATGCTCTCGCATAGTGCAACAGAGAAAACTGACGAAAAGCGGTCCCTACATCTCATTCTTATTTGCCAGGTTTATCGACTACGTGACCTAAATGACCAATGAGAAGGTCACGTGATCAATAAACCTGGCTTATTAGAAAGAGATGAAGATAATGCTTTGTGTCAGTTTTCTCTGTCGCATTGTGGAAACGCGACGGAATTGCAGCAGTCACTCTATTTGTATTATATGTCTATGGTTAGAATATGTTTGGAATGAGGATAACCTCAAATATAACCACATTATTGTAGCGTACTTACCTCGACAGCCATTGAGTTTGAATTTTTTATCATTTTACTAAACAAAATGAAGTAGTTTTCGTTCCCATTCAAGTATAAATATGCATGATGCATGGATACTTTTTAGATTTTTTATTGCTTTGATAATTAAACATAGAAAGTATCTCAGTGTGAAAACTTTTTAATTTGCTTTTAGTATATATGTATAAAAAATATTATGCTCAGGTAAATACTGTATTATTAGTTTAATATGTTAGAATGATGTGGCATACAGCAAATGATGAACGGGAAAATAATTCAAATAAATGGTGTAAGTGACAACTAAATGTTTAAGGCCAGGTTTTTCCAAACAATTTTCAGAAGATCGAAATTTTTTTATCAAAAATTGCTAGAAAAATGCTGTTGGAAATAGTATAGAAGTATTTCAGAAAGCTGCTCGAGCGTTCCGGTGGCGGCAGCTGTTTGCTTTAATCGG